TGCGGGCGGGACGGGGACAACTCGCCGCTTTCTCCCGCTGGCTCTCGGTTCTCCGGAAAGCCAAAATGGAGCAGTGGGGCTCCCGTGGGTGTGGGAGGCCGGGCGAGGCGTGCGCAGGGGGTGACTCATGAGCTGAGCACCGCAGCCGGGGCCGGCCCAGGGCGCTCCGGGGCTGCGCAGGCACGGCCACAAGAGGCTGGAGCCGAAGGCAGGGAGGAGACCTCCCTCCCGGCTGGGCCTGAAAGCAAACACCAGGCACCTGGAGGAGTGGGGATGGGAGGAGGGCACTGATAAATGAAGCGGTGGATTAAGGTATCAGATGTTTCCTGCCGGGATTTAATGGCCTGGAGGACAGCGCATTCAGTGCATTAGAAGCGGGCAGGTCCCGCTCCGGGCCAGCCTGGCCGCTCCCCGGGAAGCCGCTCACGCCCCCGGGCTGCTCGGAGCTGCAGCTCCCACCTCAGCGGAGCCGAGCATCCCCCGGCACACGTAGGGCAGGAACGGGCACCACGGGCACCGCTCTGTGCTGGGCAGGACAAAAGCCTCACGGCAGGAAAGGCCTCGCACCAGGCGATGTTTCCCTTGTTCTGTCAGGTGCAGCGGGGTCAGGCCAGGCTGTCCCTCCCCTGTCCCTTGCCACCTCCCGCGGGTGAACACCTCCCACCCCTCCCCCTGCAGCCCTCATGTGCTCCTGTCTTCCCCTGACCGCCCTCTTTCGTGGAGGGAAAGAACAAAGCCGGAATTTATTTTAATTGTTTATTGTATAATATAAAACTACAAAAGTAAGACTGCTCATTTCCATGTACATTTGTCCAATTGTTTTTATGATTACAGCCCATACCTACATGTGAATACAGTAATCTGGTTTCAGATGTCTGTAATATTGCATAGAAAAGGCACAGCTCTAAGGTCTGTGGGAGGGGAAGGGGAAATACAGCCTTTTTTCTTTTTTTTTTTTTTTCTTTTTTTTCTTTTTTTTTCTTATTTTTTTTTTTGACAATAACAAGCCCTGTTCAAACAACCATGCACTGAACATGTCACACTATTTACACCTTTTCCAGAATCTTGGCCTTTGTAGGCACTAGTATGGAATACGCTCAGAACTAGATAGGAGTTGAGGTTGGGATTTTGTCTGTAATTTGTGTTTTTAAAGAGGTTCCAGAACTTGCATTAGTCTTATTTTCAGAAAAAGAAAAAAAGTGCTTAAAAAAGAAGTGATTTATTTTAAAATGTTCAGTCCCATTAATTAATAGAATATTGAAAGCAACTTGCACAGAAGCAGGATGCTGAAGCCTGACTGGGGAGTTGGGGGAGAAAAAGAAGGAAAAAAACCCAAACCAAAAGAAACCCTGTAACAAGAACAAAAAGTTCAAAACATGCCAGAATGAATTAAACCGTTTGTCAGACAGGACCCATTGCGATTTACTCAATTTAATAAAGTGTAAACGTGGGATTCAATATGATCAGTTTTAAAATAACCCAGGCTCTTACCACACGGCGTTGAAGAAAAACCAAATTACCTCACCCAAGGTCTGAACTTCTCCTGCCAGCGATTGCTCCAGCCGGTGGCAGCGCGGTGTTGCTCTCCCAGCTGGTGCCGGTGGATGCCCGGACAGACGGCGCTGCCAAATCGCTCTCTCCAAGAGGGATGTTCTGCTTCCTTCGCTCCCAGGGCTCCGGAGAGGCTGCGGAGCCCCGGGCCCGGCTGGTCGGACACAGAGCCGGGGATGTGGGCTCTAAGTCGGGCTGTCCTGCCCAGCCCCACCTCCGGGTGAGGAAGTGGCTCTGGCACTACTCCTGGGGCTGGAGGGAACATCCTGCTCCCTTCTACGGGCATTCAGCCCCAGGGACTTCTGATGGGCCTCCCATGAGTGTTTAAAAAATAAGTGGGAAAAAATCATCTTTTCTAAACCTTTCCCAGGCCAGCATGATGGAGATGATTGCATTTGCTCCTGCCTTCAGTGGCAGATTCCAGTAGCGTGCCAAGGGAGGCCTCTCTCAAGAAGCCAGTGGGGGGGGTAGGAGCCTGATTAGGATTAATTTTGAACATAAACCTGTCCCTCCTCCATGCCTTTTTTTGCATATTTCAAACAACCAGATCCATATTAGAAAAAGAGTGTAGGGAAAAAATAATCCTGTGATCCATGCATATCCTGACTGGAACTTAATTCATTCTTTCTGAATCTGGCTCCCATACCCTTTTTCATACAGATTTACATTCCTACAAGAGGATACATTCCTACCATACATTCTGTACATGTTACAATCCAGATGTTGTTAGCTTCACAATAAAATAAATATATTTACAGAAGAAAAAAAAAAGAATAAATAATTTAAGAAAAAAAAAAAATCACTTCAAATCCAAAGCTCTCTTATTCTGCTCCCATCTTGTCACTTCATTGCACGTTAATGTCAATCTCCATCCCTGGTGTAGGTCTCAGAGAAATTCCATGCATGGCTGCTGTTGGGACCACAGCACAGGCCCAGCTAGAGACAGTCAGTGACTGTGCAGGGGGACAGCCACAGCTCAGCCCGCATCAGCCTTCCCAACCTTCTGCTGAGTCCCACAAATCAAGCAGGTGTTTGTCCTATGGGGTTCCTGTAGGGATTCTGCCACAGGACCTGCGCTTCAGCACCAAGGAGCCACAGACACTGCCGGAGTGGCGAAGTGGATTTAGAGCTCAGCTCCTGCTCTCTGGGTACAAAAACTTCAACTGATTCCCCTTAAACAGCACAGAACTCTGAAAAGAGCACTGATGGGAGCATTTGCCTAGATGGTATTTATGCAGGTGTAAATATTTAAGTAATCCCAAAAAACAGGCGGCTCCAGCCGTGGTAAGGCAAGCGCCTACCAAGTTGCGGCTTGAACCTGGTGTTGTTCCAGGTTTGTGCGGGATTGTGTTCCCAGATACTCGAGGTGCAGGGACAGAAAGGCTGTGGGTTCTCCTGCAAGTGCTGAGGACTGCTGTGGAACAAGGGCTGGGTGGGAGCTGGAGCTGCCCCCCTCCTCCCCACCCTCCCTTCCCCTGGTCCCTAAAGCTACACTTGGTCAATGGTTTGCCGTTTGAAGCAGTAACTTCCTCTCTTCTTTATTCTGTGTAATGACTGCAAATCCATCAGCATCCCAGTGCTTCATGGAGTTTAGCTTGGGAAAAAGAAAAAAGCAAACCCACCCCTGGGCCAGTGCTCCCCTCCTCCCCCAGCCCTGTCTCTCCCTGGCAGATGAACTGGGAGCCAGAAGTGCCTTCCGCAGCTGTACATGATGCATTTCATTTCCATTAGGAGTTCCTTCATTGCAAAAATGTATTTGCTCTCATCCTGTGTCTGTGTGCATATCTATGTTACATCTGTCTATATACTAATAAATATATATGGCCTGTTTTAAAGTGCCAATTTATAAAAAGCTGCCTCCTTAAAAGGCAGGCAAGACCCAATTTCATCCATGACAAGAAGAGAGCAGAATTGACTGAATATTGCCAAATGACGTAAAACATAATTTAAAATTTCTTAAATAAATATAAAAGTTATTCCTAAAGAAGCCATAGGCATGTCAACAATATAGGTTGTAACCGGCACTCAACAACTAAAGTACCATTGGAAAACTAAAATGCCATAGCAACTTCAGCAATAGGCATGATACATTGCAAACATTTTTTCTTTTTAAATTAAATGTACACCACAAAGAACTTAGGGAAAAAAAAAAAAATAAAAAAAAGCTATTGGTGCAGTAAGAAGACTTCTCAGGTGTTACGAGGGAGGGGACCATGCATAGAAAGCTGTGTCTGTATATTCCTTGTAAAACGGGTCTATAAAGTGTAAAGCAGGTAACACAGTTGATACAAGAACCCAACTCTATACGAGATGCCAAGTGGTGTCACACGACTGGCTCCAGTTTCAACAGCAATGGATATTAAAGCAAGTCCATCCAGTGCAGGTACGAGATGAGCTTCACTGCAGTAATACTGAAGCTGCCTTTTCAGCACTTAGCACAGTGAGGTGGGAGAAGGAAGGAGAAATGCTCCAAGAAAGGGTGAGCGGACGCTCCCAGCCCCGCTCTCTGCCCGCGCCCGTCAGTCGGGGAGATGCCAGGGAGGCTCTCGGTGGGCTCTGGGCTCGTGGCTCCCCCTCACACCATTCCCAGGAGCTCTGGCTGAGGAGGTGCCGATCTCCGCCGGGTTAAGGCTCCACGTCAGGCGGGATGGGGGCCTGGCAAGGCGGGCGGGCTTGGGGACAGCGGCCGGCCCTGGGGTGGGAGCTGCGGCCGCGGCAGCGCTCAGGACCTCCAGGAGTGAAGTTCCACAACTGTTTCCTGCCAACTGCTTCACATACGTGTTGGAAAAGGACATGGCTCTAAGTTTCAGGAATCACAGTAGTGCGCAGTGGGTACAGCAGGGAGCAAACACTTGTGAAACTCCGACAGAAGCAGCTCCCAGCCCTTTCTTAAAGCACTTTTTTTTTTTGTTTGCATTCAGGGAAACCGACTGCAGGCTTATTTGATCCAATTTTCTCTTTGCACCATACACATATAAAACATTACAACTCTGTATAAAAGTACAAGTGGTTCTTGTACATCTGAATTATGCAGGAACTATGTGAGCAAATCCTATCAAAATAGCTATTTTTTTTGTGTGTATAAACAGCATTTGTTTTTAGAAAAAACAATACCATAAACTGCAGAATCTGTACAAAAATATAAAATAAATTTGGGCAGCAGTTTCTAAACAGCCATGTAAATGCAACACTTAAAGAGGAGCAGGTTAATGCCTCCAAAAGGCTGAATTGCTAAAGTCAACCTATACAGGGCTAAAATGGTATTGAGATTATCTAAATAATAAAATTTTTTACCTCTTGCAATAAAACTTATAGAAAAAATAGACAAGTATGCACATGCAATTTACAGCTTTCCCCAACATAATCCTTGTGCTTAGCTTTTACCTTTTTTTTTCCTTTTTTCTTTCTTCCTTTTTTTTTTTTCCTTTTTTTTTTTTTTTTTTGTAATAACATAACATTGTCTACAATACATATTCTTTCCTATACCAGGATATTCGGTCTTCCTTGAGGAACCACTTTAAAAAAAATACATTAGAAGTGGTCATACATGGATGAAGGCACTCCAACTCTGCTCGAAGCAAAAACTAGTGTGATCCTTTTCTTTTCAAAAAAGGCAAGCAAGGATGCATGCACAGTGCTGTGAATCGGGGCTGGGAGGGACTATGGAAATACTACCGAGTGTATATACTGGTACTTAAAATAAAATAAAAAAAAAAATTTCAACAAAAGAAAAAAAGTTGCTATATTTCTAATATTTTTTAAGACCCAACAAGCACCTCCATGATGTGATCCAGTTCTGTGAGATCCATTTTGAAAGGCTGATTTGGAGTTACTGGTTGACTGCTGTACGGAGCGAGAGTCTTTAGGAGCTCATCTGCTGAGACAGGAGCCATTTTTGAGGCAGCCCCCGTGGCAGACGTGCAGGGGTCAAAATCATACATGGACGTATCAATGTCAGCGAACAGAATGTCATCCAGGGTCAAGTCTGTGAGGAAACCTGTGGAAGCTGTTATCTCAAAGTTGCCAGGCAGGGGGTCCATGAGTTTGGGCTCAGCCGTTCTGCTCTCCGGGAGGCCCTCGGGCTTGTGAATGTTGGACTCGCTGGGCTGGGCTTTAGAGTCGTCGGCTGCTGATTCAGCTGCTACTGCCTCTGCGGAGGTAGGTGCTGGACAAAGCTCCTCGATTTCGTCCAAGGCTGAGGAGAAGCTGTCCTTTACTGGTTGGAGAGCAGGAGGTGGCGGCTTCGTCGGACCATCGTGCTGGACAGCCGGGGAAGTGCAAAAAGTGTCGTCCTCGAGCAAAGAGGCCGGGGTGAGGCAGGACTCCAGGGGCATAGTGCTTACCAAGTCGGCGGGGAGCAGGGGCGGCGAGGCCAGGTGGCTGAACGCCGGCTGCGCCTCGCGGAAGTTGTCGCTGAGAGGGTCGGCAGGCTGCGAAGCGGCCACAAACATGGGCCTCAAGCTGCCTTCTTGTTTGAGTTCTTCCTGGATCCGCCTCAACATGTTGTTAATTAAAACTGTCTTTTGCAAGCTTGGCTCGGTTAATGGCCTGTGGTTATAAAGTTTCATAAGGGAAATGTTGAAGATAGTCTGACGCTGTAAGGTGTAAGACACCTTAGAGGGACCGTCAGTGGGAGACACCACTTTGCCTTCCAACCCATCTTCATGCTCGTCAAACTTCCGCTTTCCTCCTTTCCCCAACATATATCTGCAAGGGAAGAGAGGAGACTGAGGAAGGCAGCAAAGCAGGTGCACATCTGTCCCCATCAACAGCTCGGCCTTGGCCCACGGCAGCGTGACGAGCAAGCAGCAGCCACCCTAATGCAGGGCTCTAGTCCATCCCTGTTTAGGCATGGCTGTGCTGGTAAATGCCAAGCAGGAATTCAGACAGCATCTATAATACTCAAGATCTGGCATGCTTGGCAGCAAATTCCCTCTTCCTTACATTGAGCAAATATCTGTCCATAGGAGCACAAGCCACAGGCTCTGTACTGAACGTTTCCTTACATTCCCTGACTGAGGCAGTGCTATGCCTGGGAATACAAATGTACAGCACCGAGGTGCTCACAATGAATTTCCTCTTTTTCACAGGGGAAGGGAAGTGAGGCTCAGGCAACTGTGTGTTGAGAGAAACCTCCCCAGTGAGGTTGGGAGATCCAGACCTTTGGTACACCAGGATATAGACATATGGGTTTATTTAGCTGATCACCTAAGGACTAAACTATCATCGCAGGAAATGCAGTTATTATTCTCAGAATTAGATAAATTACAGATGAAGAAGAAGATCTGTCAAGTCTTTTAGTCTAATCCCCAAGACCACTCTGCACTACATTCTGCTGCTGGTCAGATGGCAGATTTTGAAGGAAACAAAGGGGATTTTATCAAATTTGCCCTGCATTATAAATAATTTCTGAGCTAAGATTAAGTGGGGCAGTTTAGTCCCCAGTGCCATCTCTTCCAGGATGTTTCAGAGCACCTGGAAATGCTCCTCTACACAGCACAGTCCCAACCTCATTTTGTCACCATTATTTTTGTGACACAGAGATCCCCCCAAACACAGAGGAATGAAGGAGTCACTGAGCTGTGACAGTAGCATGACCTAACGTTATGCTATCTCATTTTCCCAGGTAGAGTGGTGAGGTGCTGGAGCTCTAACCTGCTCACTCTTTCAATATGATCACAAGCAGCTCCCTGTTCATTCCTGTATCCCTCCCTCCGTTTAACAAATTCTTCTGGCATGAAGAATTCTGCCTTTTTTAAAGAGGGGGAAAAGAAAGAGGGAAAAAAAAAGTGGAAGAGGCTTTCTAGCCACAGGTATTCAGAAAGGAGTTGCAACAGCCATTCAGATTTTCCCCCCAGACCCGACCCTTCTCACATTATGCAGCTATCATATGGGAGACAAAATTTGCCTTCCTTACTTGAGTACAATTCCCAGTCCTCCTAGTGGGATTAGTACCTGCAAAACGACTGCAACTAGGCATGTCTAACACAGTTTGATGATCACGCACCAGTTCAGCAGACAGACAACATAGTTAAACATCACCAAAAAATGACTGACAAACATTTAAGAGCAAAGAAATCCTTGGAAAGCAGAAGAGGGGGCAGAAGAAGTCAGGGTTTCAGTGCTACAAGAAAGCATTTTCTTGGCGGTAAGTCCAAAACCAGATTGGGTGAAGTGAGCCTCTTCTGGTTAAAAGTAAGTCCCAAATCCAGATAATTTTCTAGCATATTATGCAATTAATAAAAGAAAGGCGGGGGGAGGGAGCAGGCTGAGCAGAGCTGAGGAACAGGTAGGCTGCCATCCAAGCTCCTTGGCCAGCTACCAGCAATTCCTGCGCCTGGAATCTCGGGTGAACAAAACCTCTGAAATTTAGCACTACTGCCGAAGTCTGGTTTTTCTCTGCTCCCTAGTGTCACTTCCATGGACTGCTCCAGAGCTGTGCACATGGGTTTGGGGTGCGAGCGGGGGACTTTGCTATTGCAGTGTTCACAGTAGACACATTTCCTTTCCCTTCAGACAGATAAGAGCAAGAAAGGGAGGATCAGGCTAGCAAGAATTAAAAACCCTGTCCAATTCCAGCACGTTTTTAAAGCAGCAAGGGGTTAGGAGGAGAGTTAGCAGCTTTCCGTCCCTTCCTGTTATCTCCTCCCCCTGAAAAAAGACAGACTCTGTCCTAAAGACATACCAGCGCTCCTTCCACAGTGCTCTATTTAAAGAAGACATTTTTAAATGGCTTGGGGACTAGAAGAGTTTGAAGTTTGTCAGCCTCTGCCAGGAATGTATAAAAACATTCACTGCACAAAGCAAACCTTTTCCCCCATGATAAAGAAAACAGCCCAGGCTCCGTTCCCTGTGCTCAGTTATTCATCATTGCCAGGTGACGCTGCCAAGCATTTCCACTGGGCCCATTTCCACCCAAAACTGAGGTGCTGGTAGCGAACACATTTTTAAAGCTGATCAGTAAGAACTATGGGATCATCACTAAGTAAATACTATGATAACCTCACTACGTCATTTTCCAGGAAGCTCAGAGATGATTCAAGATTTCCTGTATGTGTGACCGTCAAGCTTTTGCATCTCACTCGATCTTCACATAGCTTGATTCAGAGCTTGCCCTTTTAAAAGACAAAACAGATCAGGCAACTCCAAATCTCACCTACTGGCTTTTCAGCACAGCTTTCAGTTTCCTTTTTCCCCACTAATACTCTCTGAAGAGGGTTTAACCCCTAAAACACCAAAGTAGGATGTCAGCCTAAGCACGGGGGGTTTATTCCACCAAGGAGAGGGCTCAAATAGGCACTGCTAGACTCTCAGCTTTATAAAGTTTTATTTTATCCCCTTCTCCTCTGGCTTGCCAACGGGAATTGTAAAGAATGTTTTCCTCCAGGTTCCATAAATCACTTCATTCATGCCAAGCGAAGCAAGGAGGTGATATCTTTTTAGACCAGCTGATAAGAGTTGGTAAAACCAGACATGCTTGGGGGCTTGAAAGTCTTTCTCTGGCTCTTCATAAAGGAATTTCATAGTTTCTGACCACTGAAGCTTAAGACAATGTTGCCTGCTTGTTCTTTACAGCTCAAGCCATCTCTACCCTCCTTCAACCAACCCATTTCATGCCTGCATTACAGGGATCAGTATTGTATGTCTTAAGACACTGAATAACATTTAAAAAAAAAAAAAAAAAAAAAAGACACTGTACAAGACCAGCATTTGATCTGAATCAGTTCTGTTCATCTCAAAAACTTTGCTCCTAGCCTTTCCAGCCAAACCTCCTGCTGGAAAAACAAAAATTCCAAACTTAAAAGATCAGCTTGACCAAAGATCCCTACAAAATGAGACAAACACCTTTCCAGGTGTCAAAAGAGAGTTGTCCATCCAAGTCATACAGCTGTGACAGGGGCAGCCAGACCAACACCAACCCACCCAAATATGGCACTGCACAGGCAGAGATAAAGGGTAACGCTCATGGAAGATCTTTCATGCATCTATTTTGGCCGAGCAGCAACCTCAGACAGATGTATTTCTGCTGCATTTTCACCCATTTGCTGAGCATAATTTTGAGTCTGGGTGTTAAGAGCTGAGACTGGACATCACTTTGTTGTTGTTGTAATAAAGGGTGTTGCAGGTTTTGGCCTGCCAGTGAGTTTTCAATGTTTCTTAGGTATGTGGAACCAGAAAGCTGAAGAAAGACAATGGAAAAACTGCACCTTTCTGGGGGTTGGGGCAGAGGGAGTTACTTGGAGATCTTCCCCAATATTATCTACCAGTTGGCTCCAGCTCTGGAAGACCTAGAACCAAAAGCTAAACCATTGTTGCTGAGAAAGATTCTACTTGATTTTTTGCCCATTTAGGGCGATCGCACGCGCCTCAGCGCCAGAGAAACCCTACCATTGTTTGGAAGTTGTCTTTTCTTAATTGAAAAACAAAAGTAGTATATTTTTTTTTTCATTTGCTGTCATTTAGCTTTCTTTTATTGGCTCTGCATGCTCTTCAGACAGAACTGGAAAAAAATGCAGTTGGGGCTCAGTGGAAGAGATAATCAGCCTGGAGCGGATGGTTCTCTGGAGTCAACTCTCATCGATTAAACACAGAAGAGCTTGTGCAGTGCCTGTGTCTCTGAGCCCACTTAGCAATGAATCCTTTGCTCTCCGGAGGACAGAGGTATGTGTAGATTGTGAGAGGATCACTGTGTTTATTGGCTGTGCTTCGGACACTTCGACACCACCGGACTATTTCTGAAGTCTTTAATAATTGGCGTTTTGGCATAGAAAAGTATCAGATAAGCAAAAACTGAGAGGAAAAGTGATTTTTCTCACCCAATAATAAAAAATAACCTTTAATTTTAATTCCTGAGGACTTTTAACAATTAGGTTTAAAATACCTCTCAAAACTGAAGGCTCATCTTGGAAATCAATTCTACAATCCTCTAGGCCCTCCCTGCTCATTGAGACAGAGAGGAAGGGAAAAAAAGGAGGAGGAACTGAACCCCAAGAGGAACAGTGGAAAAAGGTTTTGAAGAAGTCACATCTCCACTCACAGATTTATGCCATCCCCTCAGTCAGTCTAGAGGATGAACAGCTTATTAGAGTTGAGGTTACTTTTAGAACAAACACCACATTGCTCAAAAAGGTAAAAGCATCAAATCCCTGAGTCCACAGGCAACCATTCCTCTCCAGGCAGCCGAACACCGAAACACAGGTGTGAACCACAGGGGCTTGTGCCAGAAGAGGAGTTTAAAGCAGGACCAGTTACTTTCTGAAATCTTAGGTAATTAAAACTACAGGGGGGTAAAATAGGAGAGAAAAAGAAAAAGGCAACCTGGGGGAATTAAAATAAAATGCTACTTCACACATGTACATGAAAAAGCCCAACAAAACCCCACAACACAAAAGTTTCCCATAAGAGCCCCCCAAAGTGCAATGAGAGCACTGAATTTATACACTTCATTCCCCTAAGTTTCACAAACCTCAGATGTAAGTGATCCTCACCAGATTTTCTTGGAGAACCTATCCAGTGAATTATGTAAGTGCTCTCTCTGTCACTTCTGGCATATGAAATACAATTTTCCTCTCCTCCATCCTTCACTCCTCATCCTTGAGAGTTCCATTGGTTGTATCCTGGCCCAACGGCAGTCAATGGGTGTTTTGTTACTGACTTCAGCAGAATCAGGATTTGGCACAGATAGCTGCAGGACCAAAATAAAAAGG